TTCAGACTGACATACCGTCGTCATTCAGCCACGATCAAACAGAAGGTCTAGAAGGCCTAGGGTTCAAACCATTTGCCTTCCATAAATGATCGAAATATCACTTACTGTCACGTTTCAAAGATTTTGCCACCTCCCTCCTCTTCCTCTCTCCCTCTCTTCCTCCTCCTCCTCCTCCTCCTCCTCCTCCTCCCCAATCAACCAATATTACTGTCTCCATGGGCAGACCACGAGGAGTCTTTCGTGAGTAAATAGTTGGACAGATGGTCAGATGTGAACGAAGCGTGCCTCTTTGGCTGTTTACATCCTAGCTCAGGCATAAATGTGTCACGGATTTCCCATTGGTTAAGGTCACATCTAACTAAGCTTGGCTGTAGGCTGCCTTGCTGAAGACCCGCTGAATGCTACGAGTGTCGAAATCCCCCATAGAAACTATGCAGCTGTACAACTAATCATAGTAAACTTGTGATGTACGATGTGATAATCAAGAAATGGACAGGCGAAAACTGCAAAAATGACGTTAAATCGGTAATTGTTTCAATGTTTTTCTGAGCCTGTGGTCCGCCTAGTCAAACCATGGTGGCAGTTCAGGTAAACATACTTACAGTAAATGTGCTAACTCATGAAATGTTAGCCGAAATCCTGAGATGTATTTTGGACTCGAAGAGATTGCTTAAGTAGGGCTGTAATATTGGTTACCATGCATCATAATCCCAAAATGTATATCGCATGTGCCAAGTGGTATTGACACGGACGTTTCAGAAGCTGTCTGATTTTCATTATCGGAGTCGTTCGCTGGCTCTCCCTGCTAGCCTTGATTTGGTCAGCCTTGCCGCCTGCCTTGTATTATAACCCTGCTCGACGCACGTGCTTTGGCCAACCTGTTGGCTTTTGGCCGGTTCTGACTTCCCAATTTCGATCCTGGACGGACTTGCGTGACTTGTGTCCCCCTCGCGGCCGTCGTGGTTGCCTCTGCGTCAGCGGGCTTGTCGACCCCCCCCCCCCTTCTCGTCAGACGGCAGACTGGTTAATCGTTGTTGCTCTGGCGTGGTGCTTTCGGTCTCGCGGGTGCGTCGGTGCAACAGTGTGTCACGCCGGTCATGTGACTTCCGGTCGGTGCCTTCTCTCCGTGGCACTCAAAGTGGCTGTACCAGTGAAGTCGGCTGAAGAGTTTTTGACGCGCATCCAACATCGGAAAGTGTAGGCAGACGAGGCGTTGGTGTCATTTGACGTGATTCGGCTGTTTACGCCTATCCCACCCGGCCTGGCCATTGGCACTGTTGACAGCCCTCTCTCAGAAAAAAATGAGTCTGACCAACGTCTCAAGTAAGCGCACACCATCGAGTCCCAGAGTTTTAAGACTTTCGTCACATGTAACGGCCAATTGTACGAGCAAAAAAGGAGACACCGATGGGCTCGCCCTTGTCTGAACTAATTGCCTAACAGTTTTTCAGAGCCGTGGTTCACTTATACAACCCTTAACTTAATGATCGATCACCAGATAGTTTGGGTTCGAACTCAGGACTATCCAAATCTATGGTTGGTATTTGGGTGGCCGACAATGACTACTAATATTCCAGACATTGTCACCCCAATTCCCATCGTCTTCGCTCGTATTGAGTCTGAATATGCACTGGCATTAGCTTTTAGCAAACCTTTATTTTTTCAGTTCGTAGTCAAGTCCTGCGGGCAAAATCAGCGTGCACTTATAAAGATCTGTCTTATCGAAGTCGGTCTGCCGCCGCCGCCGGAAGAAAATCTGTAAGAGGAATGGTTTTTCCTAAATGTCTACCTTTTTGTGGAAAATCACCGCAGAAACAACCACATCACCACACATTGTC